GGGGGGGTGGGAATTTCCAAGGGTTGATTTCACAACTTCTCTTCGTACCTTATTTTAGCATTTAATCACACTGACAATCAAGCCAAAAACTTCATGACGATTATAAAGAAATCAAACAGAAGAATTTAGTAGTCAAATAAGCAAGCAGGCACTGTTTTAAGCTCTGGGGAATCAAAGGCGAAAAGTCCCTCCACTCTCTTCCCGCCCCCTCTCAGTCAAGGTGCTCACAATCTAATTGGGGAGACAACGTGCAAACAACCAAGTACAAACAAAATAGATACAGGACAAATTGGATCACAAAACACATGGAGGCAAAGGAATAACAACTAGTGAGACAACTAGAAAGGTAGGAAGGGGCCAGATTATAGACTTTAAAAATTAGACAGGGGACCTTGAGTTCCAGATATCCAATAATAGGAAGTTGAAGATTTGAGAGTGGAAGTCAGGAAAAAGGTGAGGGCTGGATAAATGGATCTGAAAATCTTCTGCATAGAGATAGTAATTGAGTCCATTAAAGCTGATGAGATCATCTAGCAAAATAATGTAGAGAAAAGGGCCCAAGTCAGAACCTTGAGGAATACCCATAATTAACAAACACAACTTTGAAGACCCAGCAAAAGGAGACAGAGAATTGCTCCGAGAAGGAGCAATTCCATGGGAGAGAAGTCTCACAAAAGCCTAGGGGGGAGAGTATCCCCAAAAAGGTGATCACTAGCATCAGGTGGCAAAGAAATCAGGGATGAGGAGGTAAATCAATGAGCTTTTTGAGGATGTAAAACAACATATGCACACATTAGAAGAAAGCAGAAAAGCAGCCCATAGGCAGACCATAAGGAATGGTGGAAGGGGCATCTGCTAGAGAGGACAGGATAGAGTAGGATCATTTGTGCTAGAGGTTTGTTTTAGCAAGAAGGGTCACCTGTGAGAAAGGGGTGGAAGAGTGAAAGAACATCAGTGACGTAAGATGAGGGGAGAAGGAGCTCTCAGCAGATGACCTTTTTCAGTGGACTCAGACAAAGTTCTCTACTGACAAGGGGAGTTATGGGACATTTGAAGATGAAAAAGTGCAGCAGTTGCTGTGGGATAGTGAACTGCATAGAGAGGAGTGAAGATTGCCTTGCCATTGGGAGCCCAGTTAAGTGCAACAACATTTAGCATGTTTTCATGATTTCCTTCAACTTTGTTCAGCAATAAGGTGGCAGATGATGGGAGTCATCAAAGGCAGGGAGATGGCAGGATAGGATTGATAACAGGGTAAGAAAGGGGATTCAAGACTATGATACTGAGTTGAACTGACTTATCAAAGCATCAAGATGGAGGGATAAGAGTGTAACCAACACAACAGTGATGGCCTCAGAAAGAATTGGGGGGTTGGAATCACAGTAAGAATGAATAGTTGAAATGAATATTGTAATTTGTGGTCATTTCCCTCCACCTTAAAATCAGGTAAATGAATTTCAGAGTTCTTAAACATAGAAGTAGAACATTCATGGGTCCATGGCAAGATCCAAGAGCATAACTCTCTCTTCAATTGAAGTGAGATAGAGGGATGTCATGGGAAATGAATAAATTGAGGAATTAGGAGGTTAGGGTGTTTGAGTATCAATGTTTAAGTGCTCTTAGCATGAGGACAGGAATTGAGGAGGAAAGACTGTGAGTCAAGCACTGAATTCCTTCAGAATGGAAGTATCCTAGTCACTGAGGTAGAATCTGAACATAGCAATGGGAAGTAAGTAGTTTTCCAGCTTCCCCATCATAACCGAATAGGGTAATGAGTACAAGTGCAACCAGTGCTGGAAAGGGCAGCCACAGATGTTACATCATCGGGAGGAAATCAGGTCTCAATAAAAGATGACAAAGTGAAAAAGGAAAAACTTTACAAAGAAAGCAAGTTTGTAATCTATGGAGTAGAAACATTCCAGAACACAGTGTAAAGGGGTGGTAGCTCTTAAGTGGAACATTGTGGGAACTGGGAATAAGAGAACATATAATAAGGGATGGGAAACAAGTTATATTGGCAGTTGGGAGTACAAAATCACTGAAATGCTGAGAGTATGATGGGAGTGGAAATAACGTAGCTAGGTAGCACAGTGGATAAAGCACTGGTTCTAGAGTTAGGAATACCTAAATTCAAATCCTGCCCTTAGGAGCTGTGATTTTGGGCAGTCTAGCCATTTCCTCAATTGTAAAATGAGGATAACAATGAGTTCAGGTAGAAACAGGGACTACATAACTAATAGGCTTATAAATGGGTAGTATTACCTTTGTGGTTTTACCCACCAAAACTTACTAGTTACTAACTAGGTAAAAAATGGTACAATGGTACTCACTTGTGACACATAAAAGTAGCTTCTCTCTGGCCCCAGGTGATATGAATATTATTGAACATTCTTTAATACCAAACAATGTGATCGAGGGACCACTTATCACTTAAGATTACAGATGCTTGATGTATTTACTTGGGTTTTAATTTGGAGAACACAAGCCTATACATGCAATTCTAACTAAAGCTAACCTCCAATTAGATAAGAAATCTGGTTGTTAAAACTTAAGGTGAACTTTTAAAAAGTGTGACACAATATAATTGCATGCAACTATTACAAATCAAGTGAGACGTCTTGATTTTAAATTTGGGATGAGTTAACTCAATGAGCAATGTTTTATAGAGCTAGAAAGTCATTAACTTGGAAATGAAAATTATGCCAGTTCACCAATGGTGTTAAAAAAAAAGACCTCAAGAGTGTATCTGATCTAGCCTACTTAAGCAAGAAAGGTGTCACACACTTTTGCCGTATGAGCCAACTGAAACTCAAGATTAAGAAATATGCTCAAGGTTATACACATGGTGATGGCTTAACTCAAGTCAGTCCAATATGATTATCAAGATAGCTAGATGGCTAATCAATCTCCTTTAGGGGCAGCTCAAGATTTATTGATAATCAGGTTTCTGGTCTTTCGGGAAGTTATACCTTGTACATAGTTTTATTAATTTCAAATTAAGTTTTATTAAACTTACAAATGTGAAATATAACTTATGAAGGAATTATTAGACTTCTACAGCAGAGAAAAAAACCTTATGGTGGGAGAATACGATGAGAATTTCTTGGGCTACTAGAGAAACACTGTGTTTGTTGATTTTGCTGGTATTCTTATAAACAAACTTCCATTTATGTGCACTAATTTTTCTTACACAAGACAGTATTTCACTGAAATTCCAGATCAGTATGCTTTGGTTTTCCAACCAAATAAGAAAATGACAGCAAATCAAAAGCAAAAACATAGATTTAAACTAACAAAAGCTTATGGAAATCGTGATGTAAAGCAATGAATACTACTCATTTATCTATTCCAAGAACTTTTTACAAATTAAGATGCTAAGAAATTTAGATACTTTCAGTAGCCAAAGTGAAGACAATTATACATTATAAAATTTCCACCAAATTGAAACATATCAAAGTTCCTGTAACAGTCTCTAGCAGGAAATTCAGTCAAGTACTACCAAATATATAAAATTGGACCAAATGGGCAATATCTCAAGTCCTGGCATAACTGGGACCGTTTGGGTTAGGCTTCTGCAATGTACGAAAACAGCCACTTTGTGCAGAATATTTTTAGTAAGAAACATTACTCCTCTGGGAACTAAGAACAATGCTTCATTTGTACTTTTTTCATGATATGCAATCTTTTACACTCTATACTTGGTGTAAATGACACTAAGATACAAAACAAAATGAGCTTTCAAAAAATCTTATCCGCTCACAGTTAAATATAGGTTTCTAACCTGTAATCATTTTGGAAAAACCAAAACAGAAAAACTACAAAAATAATCTCACACCAAAATAATTCAGTTTCTAAAGTCTCAACAGTTAACACATTTCTAAAAAATAAAAAGGAACCAAAGTGCTTCTAAGAGGCAATTTTACACCATTTACAAATAAAACTAAATTTGATCTACCACTCAAAACACAACACTGATCTCAACTGTTTCAACCTGAAAAATTGGGTTGAGGAAGAGGAATTCCTCTGTTCATCTAATCCAGCTGATGTGAATCAACTAAAGCCCTTGTCTATTTGACTGAAATACCTGAACTTCAGATTAAGGAATTTATAGGAAAAACTCAAATAATCAGGATGAATTGTTTCCATTTAGATACCAAGCTTGAATTTGTATCCAACATACTAGGAGCTTATTACAAACTACATATAATCAAAGCTGAATAAGGTGAGGAATGTGAATGTTAACTTCTATTTAGAAAACGGCATTACGAAGAAACTGAAAATTTTGGTTTATGTTCAATTGCACATTCTTTTTTTTTCCCCAACTGCACATTCTACAAAAATATCTCTGAAACTTTATAACCAATTAGCAACTCT